GTCATTCCATAAAGCCTCTCCTTCCGATCCATCTGTTTGTAAAAATATTGTGAAGGTAATCTCCTACTATTCGCAAATACAACTACACTTAACAATTTATTTATATCTATTATATATTTATAAGGCTATATCTCAGTAGGCGTGCACTTTTGTATATAGGTAAGTTAGGCTAAATAGTCTTATTTTCATCCAAGGAACCTGCGGTCAAGCGTTGTCCATCCTTTTCAGGGACATCCTGTATAAGGATATATTGGCAGATATAGTTTTACATTATTGTTGTAATAATGCATTATAAGAAGTAAACAACCAAAAATCAAAGGCTACTTAAAATTTTTGCATAATTTACACTCAAAAGTATATTACCTTTCGCACTTCCCAATGTTCAACACTAAAAGAACATCAGACTTATTTAAAGAATATTTTGCTATATTTCTAACACTTTACAAGTGGATAATAAATTATTACGAGACAGGTAATTAATGCAAAAGGATTAAAATTTAGGATTTACTGTACAAATTAATTTATGTGGTGCATTCCACTACTTAAGTAGGTATAAAATTCTTTGCTTGCCCATCCTAAGGGTAGTATTTCCTGCTTAAACCACCTAGAGGTAGCTACAGTATGGGAACCACAGACAACATCCACCTTCCTGTATTTATGCAAGCTGTTGGTCTAGTAGTGGCTCTCGAACCACAACCGAAAACCTCTACGACAAGTGAACCGTCTGAAGAACGCGAAATTGAAGAAATAGTAAGCCGTAGTAAAATGTTAATGTGGAGCATGCCCAAATATCTGCAGAAGCTGACGAAAATAAGGAACACTAGCCGGCAAGAGTACTACAGAACCCACAACGAAGTCAAGCGAGTAGAGTTTGAGGTTTTAAAAGATGTTACAAAGCAGGTGAAGACTAAAAAGGATCTAGACGAGTTGAAGATTCTCGTGAAGGAATTGATTCTCGAAAATTTCAAAAATAGGATGCACATAAGAGCGACGAATTCTTCACGTTATAAGATGCAGTACAAAGGGGTAAAGAACGCGATTGTCAAGCTGATACAAGTGTGTAATGAGTTCGATGTTTCACCAAACATTAACACAAAAAATAGCTGATACCTTTATTGAGATTTTTGTTGCTTTAATTGACTTTACTGTGTTACTACAAATACTTTTAATTTGATATGTTGACAATAATATTTTATTATCAAAGTGTCTCTACACTATTTATTGTTTATAGTATTTCTAGAACTATTGATTGTAAAATATGTATATTATGGTAAATAAAAAACTTTTGCGTTCTAAGTATCTTTTGAAATAAAATTTTAAAATTGACAAATTCTGTTTATGTATTAATCATTAGTAACTGTTATCGAAATAAATGAAATAGATCCCTGAGTTTGGAAACCGATATTAAGAAAACGTAGGGGCAAAAAAATTTGAAATTTGGACCATATATAGCCTCACTATTACTCTATTGTGTGCTAAAATTTCAGTTAGTTTTGTTATCCCATTTTTTAGTTATTAATGAAAATGTTGAAAAAATCACGGTTTTCTGCCTACAAAATTGATATCTCTCACGTTAACTCGTCGTAATTTTTTTGTTAATTGATAAAAAATTACAAATTTTTGCTGACAATAAGTCTTAACTATCGTCTTTAGTACTGTGAAGGTCATTTGTCTCAAAAGCTCTTCTTTTTTTTATTTTTAACCAAAACAGAAGGGTGCTATTTCCATAAATATTGCATTTTAAAAAAAAAAGAAGAAAAAAAATGAAATAGGTAGTAAATCACTGTAAACAACAATTTGAAAAAAAATACCGTTATAAATGTGATATTCTTAAAAACAGTATCGGAACGGTCAATTACGTTCACGGTCCGATGCAGGGTATACAAGCCTTTATAACTATATTATTTTAACAATTTTTTTCAGATTGTTGTTTACAATTATTTACTACTTGAGTCAATTTTTTTCTTGTTTTAAAGCACTCCCTTCTGTTTTGCTTAAAAATAAAGAAAGAAGAGCTTTTGAGACAAATGATCTTCACAGTACTAAAGACAATAATTCGACTTATCGTCAGTAAAAATTTGTAATTTTTTTATCAATTAGCAAAAAAATTACGACGAGTTAAAATGAGAGGTATCAATTTTGAAGGCAGTAAACCGTGATTTTTTCAACATTTTGATTAATAACTAAAAAATGGGATAACGAAAGTAACTGAAATTATAGCACACTATACAGTAATAGTGAGGCTATATATGATCCAAATTTCAAATTTTTTTGCCCCCATGTTTTCTTAATATCGGTTTCCAAACTCAGGGGTCTATTTCATTTATTTTGATAGTAGGTGGTTATAGTAGTGCATAAGTAGACAAATTATAAAATTAACGTAAATGTTTTATAAAACCCGACCAAATTGTTAAATCTTCGTTGACTTTCCGTTATTTTACGATCTTCCACTTTTAGATTTTTCAAAAAATGTAACTCTCTACAAATAAAACCGAGAAAATAGTAACATTCGTAAGAATTTGAAGATAGGCAGGAGTTAAATATAAAGAAAGACATTTTCTCATGAACTAACAAATAAAAAAGTTTTTATGTGTGTTTATTTAGTATTCAGTACATATTTTAACTGTTTTTGACAATTTTGGACACGTTCTTCATTTTATGAAACAGCCAGCCATTTTACCAGTGACCAGCCAGACAGTAAAATTGAGCAAAGTCAACGAAGATTTACATTCTGGATGCGGCATAAAAAAATTAATCAAGTGTAAACATATATGTGAATTATTTTTATTTTTTTGACATTAGTATATGTGTACTTATATCTTGCATTTATTTTTAAAGAAGTTTTCTCTGACACATATACAACTTTTAATATTTTAACGTACAAATTGCTCATGTTCAAGCATCCAAACAAATAACTTAGCCTTTACGCTGGCAACCCGACAACGTCGAGAAGGGTTGTTAAGGCGCCACTTCCTTGCGAAATGGGGTTTTACCTTCCGTTTGACAGCAATGAATCACTGTCTCCTAATGACGTCATTCTGTTTCTACAATGAATACAGTGTAGGGACTAATTACCGTACCCACATCATTTTATCGGTAAATCAACAGGCAAACCAAAATTCTGCAAAAATATTAGTTTAATCTCCACCGATTTCGATTATTTTTCTTAACACTAGTTTGTTAATCTTGAAAAAATAGGTACATCTCGATCTCGGTTTATTATACAGGGCGAACGAAAATGATGTTTTGGTGGGTTCAATACCATATACATATAAAACTTCGTCATGTTATATTAAATTATTGGAAAAAACATCAATATTAAAAAATAAACGATATTATTTTAAGGAACTGATCAATCTGTCTACTACCTAAACGACTATTTAATCACAGGTAATTTAATGAGAAATGTAGACATAGGTTAATAATTCATCAGGAAATTTTGCTACAATGAAAGAGAAAAAATAATACATTTTTTTGCGGAATTATACGAAATTAAATTAAATTTGAAAAATTAAATTATCAGTAAATGCATATGTCAATACAACTATTTAGTTACAAAAGCAACTAATGATCGAAACTCTACAACGCCTGTGATCTTGGGAATAATGAATTGAAAACATCATCTTCTTAGATAGTCTTAGATAACACATCCCGCCAACGCCAAACTAATGAAGCTTTCGGGCTGAAATTTTTACCACTTATTAAGGGTGCAAAGACCTTCAAAAATCCTATTAATCCTAATTACAAGTGTCTGCGATGAAAATTGAATTAATTAATATTATTAGCAATGGAAAAAACGCCCATTTTCGACCATTTTTGAGCTCTTGCGCATAAACAAATTATCGGAATTTAATCGGACTTGTTTCATTTTACAGGTTTATTTAATACCTACCTTTTTTGTATAAACATTTTTTCGCTATAAATAACAGTTTTTTTACGCGAGTCAAAAAACCACTTTTCCATAACTTTGACCATTGTTTAAATAAAGTTTCCCAACTATTTTGCCTATAACACGTTTCCGAACAATATTCCGCAGAGAAACTTCTAACAGTATTTTTTCCGGAACAGTCTGTTTCATATCTACATATAATGACTGGATTAGTCTAACATCATGGTACAGTATTATAAGGACATGGTATATGTATGTTATGGACAATGTGATTATTTAGTTATTATGCTTAATGTCCGCACATTTGTGTGGATATTACATTGAGAATTATACTGCGTGTTCCTTTTAAAACTCCCCATCTCGACATCTTTAAACCCAAAAGTGACGTCTGCGTTTTATAAAAAAAATTGTGTAATTCACATAAATCCTCATAATACGCAGCAAATCAGACGCATTGACAAGTGCTTTGACAAGTGATCCATGCGTGAATGACAACGCCATCTATACCATTTTTAACAAAACACCCCATATTTTCGTACTTAACAGACAAACCTGAATTGGAAATTCTTTTTTATTCGAATATTTGGCGAAGGCGCAGGTCATTTGCTAGGCTGTCGCATAATATAAATTTTGGTTTCAACAAATCTTGTGCTGTTCTTGGGGAGTATTATAATATAATATTTCTGGAACTATTTATTATACAAAGTATTAACGAAAAAGTACTCAAAATTGAAGAGTATGTAAAACATGTCGAAATATGATGAAAACTTTAGTACAGTTTTTGTCAGTGGCGGCCCCTACCATAACTTCGCAACGGTTTAATATTATATCACGGAATTTTGGGGTTGTACTGCTATTTATATGCTTAATAATCGGTATAATATACAAATCAAAATTTGCTATCCCGCCTATATGGCCAATTTTTTTAATTAATTTATAAACCAAACAGTATGAAAAATCAGTTAGTCCTTATTAACGAATAAAATGCTACCAATACATTTTTTATGAGTTAAAGAATTCCAGTGCGTTTATTTTCTAACTTTTCTCATATTTTCCAAATCCCTGGGTGAAATAAACTACAGTGAAATCTAAGATGACATCATTGTTTCAGGACTGAGCGATCCGTATGTAAAATTTAAATGTGGAGGGCGCTTGGTATATAAATCAAGAACTGTATATAGGGATCTAAATCCCGTATGGGACGAGAGCTTCACTGTGCCTATAGAAGATCCGTTTGTTCCAATAAGCATAAAAGTGTTCGACTATGACTGGGGTCTCCAGGTAAGTGGCTGTTTCCTAAAATTGTGTAATTATCTAAATTTTCTAATTAGATAATTTAAGAATTCTAAGAATATGTTTCATCAATAATTATTTTAATAGTTATATCTTCTTAATTATCTACAAAATGTACTAGGAACGACGTAACTAATTACCGGCCCATAGGTATTATAAATAACTTTTTTAAAGTCTTACAAATAATTTTACACAATCGTCTTTATTTTCATATTGAAAAATTAATATCACCATACCAACATGAATTTATGAGTGGTTGTTTACCTACCTCTAATCTAGTTGAGGAAACCGAATTTATTGTTGAAACTTTAGATGCAGGAAGTCAGGTTGATGTTGTATATGCCAGTTTCTCTAAAAGACTCGATCATTTGTGTTATCTCTGTTTAAATCTTATTTTAGTAATAGATACGTTTGTACATTATTGTGGCTTTCAATCGTGTAAATTACATCAATGTTCAAGGGTTCCACACGGGTCAATCGTGGGGCCACTACTCTTTGTTATTTTTATTAATGACCTAACTTAATATCTCAATATAAATTATTTACTCTATACAGAGGACCTTAACAAACCACCATTAACAAAAAAAAGTGTAGAGATATATGTAAAATAATAGATTTTACCAACAGTTATTCTTATTTCTTTTAATTAGTATAAAGTCCCTGTAAAAATTAAAAGCATTGCACGGGACATTTGATTTTCAGAACCTGCATCATCAAAATTTTATATATAACGAGCGTTCAAATAAAAACGTGGTCGAAGTTGGCTCTGACACATTGGACGTAGGGCGTAGCTTATAGCGACCAACTTAACCTCATTTCTCAACGAGCTGTATAGCAGCTGTCAGTTTCAATAACAATAATGACTATATAACTTGATTTTAAAGAATAATCG